ATTTATATTTTGTACTGTGAAAAAAACGCATCAAATGTTAAGTTAAACTAAAAACTTGTATCAGCTGGAATACATTATCTGTGTATGAATCACCGTATAATATTATACAAGAATGGCAAAGGTATAGGAATATTAATTTATGTCAATGAAAATAACAATCTATAAATGTGTTTTTTTTGCTGGAATGAAAAAATAACAAAATACCTAAACAACACATTAAATGTAAAGTATGCAAAAGTAAAAAAAATAAAAGGTATTGGTAAAAGGATGGACACACTGCTAAAAATGACACATGTATAAAATATAGTAATAATTTTCAATTTAACACCTATAATAAAAATACTAATTAGTATGTAGGTAAACACTGTGTACTAATGTAGACCACCTATAAAACTGCCTGTAGAAGTACATAATATAATAATACCTAAACAACGCATTATATATATATATATATATATATATAAATTGATTGAAGGTATAAAACTTAAAGGTAATGGTGAATGTATACAACTACCCTAAAAAGTAGTAAATAATTCCTACACACTGAACACACTGAATATATTTATTTAATTTATGTGTAGTACTGTATGTAATAGAATGTTTATTATGTCTGTTATACACAGCTTGAATGAAAACCCATGAAATGTAATAATAATAACGATCAACACCTAAAATAATTATGTTGCTTGGTGCAAGAAGGGTCGATGTCACATTTTGGCAAAATTGAGATTATTAATTGACCAATGTCATTAAAATTTACTTATGTCACTCGGGTCAAAATTAGATAAAGTTTACAAATGTAGAAGTTACTAATATTATGCTCAATGGAATATTATTATTGAAATGTAGAAATATTTGAATAAAAATGTTTATTAAAAATTTTAGTTTTTGGCCAATGTCGAAACCAAAGCAATTTTATTTTTTCTGGGTGGCCAATGTCAAACTGAAACGTACATATTTATTCTTGAAAACAAAATGAGAGTCATACAATGAAATAAAAACAAATATAATGTTTAGAGTTCCAAAATAAGATTAAAGATTGAATACCTGAAGATTGTCAAAATATGACATTGGCCCTATTTGCACCAAGCCACATCATAATGAAATACACACTGAACACACTAAATAAACGTATTATTATTATAATCATTATATCATACACATGTAGACGTTATTTTATCTTATATATTATTATATATTTATGATTTATTTATACGTTCAATTGAGAAATTATGTTTATATCGCTAAGTGTAGTGTAAGGTTAAGACTCACTTTTTAGTTTAATCTTCTTCCTCCACCTCCAATGTCACACGGTCGTGTCCCTTGTATATGTACTTTGTAGATATACATGACGCTCTTTATGGACGTGCATATCTCGACGTTGATGTGCGCGTCGTATTTGGCCAGAAGGTAAGGGTTGTATGGCACTACACACCCGTTACCGACCGCATGACCTCTCACAGGTACCACTCATCCGTCGTCCGGTCGGCGGCACTTTGGATAGCCGCCGTCCGCAACGTACACAGTCTCCTCTGCGTACGCTTTCGGGAAATCTTTTGAGCAGCTGTTGTTCACCATGCACGGACACTGCGGGTTGGCTGTTCCACACGGTCCGTGTATCATGTGGGACTTCACGCAGTCGTGTAAGCGCCTGTCGGTTGCCGGGTCCGGCAAGAAGGCGCAAACCACGTCGTCGACGTCCGCCGCGGTGCGAAACTTACAATCCTCCGCCAGGATCAGGAGTATGTGCGCATGGGGCAGTCCGCGTTTCTGAAACTCTATTGTATAAACGTATCGTCGACATCACCAAATACACGATTAACAGTTAGGTCACAAAGTAGGTCCTGTAGTTTCAAGTTGAACACCCTGGCCGTCAGTTCGGGCCTGTCATTTGAATAGCTGTGACGCGCCAGGTTTTCCGTGATCTCCGGCCACCTGGGATTGCACGTAAACGTTATGAACAGGTCAGGCTTCCCTTTGCTGCGGACCATGGCCATGGCGTCTTGATAACAGATCTTGTTGTATCGGTCGCTGCCCATGAACGTCGACGGTAAAATGACCCTACGGCCGACCGCCATAGGATCGATGATGAGACGTTCTTTCACATGGTCCACCAACCCTTGATACGCTTCGGCAAAGATTTCTGCCTGATGCTCATGTATGTAGTTCAGATTGTTGGTTTCCATCTGAACGTAGTGGTCGCACAGGAACTGGTGAAACAAGGACCGGCCCTGATGTATCGAACTGAACCGTTGGTCCCTCGTATCGAATGGCCACGCGGTAGCACGCAAACTCTCTTATAGAGTTTCGACTGCGGACGTTATTTCGTCGATGGCCCTCTTGCAACATCTCGTTGTGCCAACCGGCCTCGCCGTACGGGAAGAACAGCGCATACAACATGGGATCCGAGTGAGACGAACCTTGAGACATATAATGAATTTTAAATTAATTGCTGAGCCAAAGGTCTGTTAGTAGCTGAGAGTTGGTTTATGGAGATACGTTTGTGTTGCGTGTACACAATTTGTAGAACCGCCAAAGAAATGTATGAAATAATGCACAGAAAATATTAACTCTAAGATCGGCTGTAATATTGTAAGTGCTATTAGTTATTAAGTATATTATTATATACTGTGAAATCAAAACTATGAATCTATACGAAACTGTGATTCTTTAACTCTATTTAGGAGTTATTTATATCTATTTGTTATTTATTGTTATAGCAAGTACCTACATAACGTTTTGTAGAACCACACAAATTGGGTAAATATATTTAGGAGGACAATCCATGAGACAATAATAATATGTGATAGGTATTATGTTGATCCACGTTGTTTTAAATTTATAATAATGTAATGGCTTGTTTCACAACAACACAATGAATTTACACTGTTAATTTAATAAGTAATATTATGTATGTCGGTTTTGACCTAATTAATGAGTGAATAACTAATTAAATTTCAAAAGAATGTCTGCGTGGTGGGATATTTACCAGTTATTTATTTATTGTTATGATTGGGTCGTGTACTTGTGTGTATAGCAGTAATTTATAAAATAATCTAAAACATGAACTCTAAGGTGCTAAGGTGGGCTTCTCAGTGATGTTAGTTATTAAGTATACACAAATTATGAAATAAGAGAACAGTGAATTAAGCGTTGAAGTAATGTAACTATAAAATACTATCACTACAAAAATTGATGAGATTTATGTACTAAATGAATAATAATGTCATGACTTTTGTTTTATCACACAACAAACTCAAACTGTTAATGTAATAAGTATTACTGCAAAAGTGAATGGGATGAAGTCGGTGTTGACATAACGTATTAGTTATTAAGTAATTCAATTTCAAAAGAATGTCCAAAATGTAGTAAAGGTGGGGTGTAATTTAACTCTTCGTTTGTAGCAGTTAGACATCTGTTATAATATTCTGTGTGTGTGTGAGGTGTACTAACCCGCAGGTATCCTTTGCGTCCTGTATTGCATGTTGATTGGATTGTTATTGAAGATGACCAGATCGATGTGTCTGGGAGGATTACCACCTTCACCTACGAAAACTTCATTTGCGGTAGGCAGGTTGTTTAGGCCCCTATCACCGGCCGCATCTTCAACGAAATTCATTCTGACTGGTCTAGGTGGAGCGGCTGCGGGATCGGCCAGGGCTCTTTCTGCCAGCCACACCTGACGCATGTTCCTGAAACAAATATATTTATATATTTATGTTAAACACACTCCGCATGATGTGTACAAATAATTGTGAATTTTGATTGCAAAGAGCTGAGAATAAATCATATTACCTAAAATGTATTAATCAATAGTAATTGGTGTATTAGTGTATCAATGATATTGTTAGAAATAATTGTATATTAAGTGTAATAAAAACATCCGACCATTCAATCCATTTAACTCTATATCGGTAGCGGTGAGAGTATAATCTATACTAAATATTATGTATTATAAATCGTCCATGCTCGGTCAAAAATAAACATTTTGAGATTTTTATGTGTTTTATTTCTGATAAATATGAATCTGATTTTACCAAAAAATAATTCATATTTATTAAGTCAATCTTTTTTCCTCTAATAGTTTTCCTCTAATAATTTTCCTCTATAAGTTATAACACTTATCATTTATCATATCGCATTCCTGGAATAATAATGTCATAACTCAAAACATGTCATTATTGGGAAAATGCAATTAATGATTTTGAGAATTTTAAATTAATTCTGAAAAAATATAAATCTTTGTGATAATTTGACAATTTTTTTTTAAATAGTTATCATTTTTAATGTAGATTATATTTATAGAGATTTTATTAATTCCTGAATTTCCTAACTACGTGCAAAATAAGATATGCCGTTTTTATTCTACATTGTAATACCTTCCGTTTTGAGTAGTGCCTTTTCGTATCGAGAAACCCTTGAATTGTGCCGTTCTATCACTAATTTCCCCTATATATTCAGTGTTGTGCCATTTTGATGTTCCTCATTTACGACTAACAATTATTTTAGGTTTTATCATTGTGTATTATATTATTATATTATTTGTAGCAGCAATTTAAATTAAAATGCAAGAGTGGGGAATGAGTTAGGTATAAAAGTAAAAAAGGCTATTTATAAACTCAACACAAAATTTATTTTAATAATAAACAATCTAAAAACAAAAACATAATGCTTTTTATCACAGTCTACTTTGACTTGGTTAAAATTATTTAAAAATTATCATGTTCGATTTTTAATAATGAACGATCTAAAAAATAAAACAAAATACAAAATACTTTACATCATAATCTACTTAGACTAAATTATAAAAAATTATTTATCACAGTCTACCTTGACTTAGTTAAAATTATTTAAAAATCACGATGTTTGAATTTTAAAAATTAATATTATAAAAAATAAAAATAAATACTTCTCATTAAAGGATAGTTTGATTAAATCGTACACTAATTTATCAGTCTTCCTTAATATAGTTAAAATTAATAAAAATTACCATGGATAAGTTACAAATTACTGTAGAACGAGTGAAATGATGGAGGAATATGGTTTTTGGTACATAATTTCATCAGATCTTCTTTTTTCTTTGGCAAGATTCCACAAGGTTTCAAATATGCTTTATCCACGACCATTAAGTCTTGGCTGACTCTAGTTTTCCTCTTTTTTGTAAAATCGATTGTTTTGAACGTTTCGTCTTTGTATGATGTTTTATATTCAAATGAGTTTGTTTTACCACGAGACAGTTTTAGGACCTTAATATCATTGAAATGTATGGATTCTGAGTTAGTGTTCTTATTGAAATTATTTCCTATCTGTGAAGTATAGTCCTTGAAATTCAAAAAGTTTGAGTGATCAAGTTCTTCAACTTTGAAAAACGGAGCTTTCTTTTTAGAATCTCTTATGATTTGTGCGTATTGATATGCAGTGTAAATAGGTGACGATTTTAGGGACAAATTTATTTGTTTTTCAATGACCGAATGAACGGAATCACCCTCGTTTTGCGTATGTCCCCGAATTAAAAACTTGTGTGTGATTGTTTTCAAGTTGAGAAATATTTTTAAAGCGTACTGATACAAGCCAATAATGAATTTATTTTTATTTTGGCCACCGCAGTTATCTGAATAGAAAATTATTTCAAAGTCGTTCGTTCTCTCCTCAGATTTCTTCTGGATAAATTTGAAAATACAAGAAGCAATTTCGTTTGGTCCTCTGTGTGCTTCACCTTCGTGCCATAAATAGCAAAAGGCCTGCATGCTTTGTAATTCACAAACAGTTAAATTATAATTTGCCACTTTACTAATATAATAAAATACTGAAACGTCACCTCGAGGAACGGTGAGAACTGCTTGAAGATCGTAGACAGCACAGACCAGTTCATTTGATGAACGTTTTTTGTCAATTTCTTTTTCTTCACGTGCAAGCTGTTTTTCCTCCAAATGCCTCAAAAATGACGTATTATCACGTTGCTCATTCTGACTATTTTTGTTTGACTCGCATTCCTCACACTGGTCTTTTTTGGGTATAAAGAAGGAAATGTTAAATTGTGTATTAAAAATATGTCTGTACATAGATTCCTTCACAAAAGATTTATTATTGGCTTCAGCCAGTGCTTTGTAGTCTCTATACAACTGTATCAATGTCTTACCACCTTCTATAAATTCTCGGGTTGATTGTGCCCTAAGGTAATGACTTTCGATTCGCGGGATGGAGTTAATGTGGTCCTTAACACCTTGAATTAGATTGTCGTCAAGAACAACTTTGCCAACTTTCCTACCCCTGTGATCACTATCAATAGCTCCCGTTTCTGATTGCTTTTCGAGTATTGTCCGTATCATCCTAATGGTGATATCAAGAGTCGCCATAAAAAAAATACTTGCACACTCTTATGAACTCAGAATCAACCCCACACTTTAGATAAAACGCTTGATTGTTTGACCTATTACAGGTTGCATCAGCCCTAACGTACCTGTACTTTGGTGTCACTGTCTTCATTGCCTTGAAAATGTAGTGGCGCTGTTTTTCAATGTCTCCCATGGCCCAAAATTCTTCGAAAATTGTCTGTCTCTCTGTTTCAGTAAATTTATTCTTACAGTGAAGTCTACATTTGTCTTCACACGGTGGTTTCACCTTCCTACTTGGAACAACTTTATTTTTTCTTGTTGTGTACTCTTGGCCAGTATTCCTTTTTGCTTTTCTTACATTCGCCTTCCACTGAAGAGGTTTGGGAATAACTTTTTTTGGCCTTTTGGGTTCTAAAACATTACAATTTAAAACATGTAAATAAAAATGTTGATTGAGGAGGTTAGATAAATAAATAATAGCATAAAAAATTAAAAAAATTATGTATACCTTTATCATTGCTTAACTCAGTTTCGTTATTATTTGAAGGATTACAATCAGCCATTACAATTACGTCGTTCTCAAGTTGTTCATCTTCGGTAGGCAACAAATCTTTAGGTCCTTTAGGGTGGTAATCAGGATCCGCATCCGTATCATCAAAGTCTGAATAATCATCCTCAATAATATTATCACCTTCATTTTCAGGTTTTGTAGCAGGTGCCGTGTTTGTCTCAAAAAGATAGTTAAATATTTTTAGGTCAATTTTTTTAAACTCGTTACTAGTGGTAAGCCTCATCGTTTCCTGAGGAATAGCAGGCCAAATATCTCCTTCTATGTGTTTGTAGGTGCAGGTTGTGGTATTAGATGAAAGTTTGATAATTTTTTTAATTCTCTGTGACGATGTCATGTTTTGTTATATTTTTTATTTTTATTTTATATTATAATATCTAAAAGAAATATAAAGGCATAAATCAATAATATTCTTACTTAGCAAAAGGCACAACTCGGAAAATTCTGAAGACCAAAAGGCATAAATCGAAAAAAAACTTACCTGCATCAGTGATCAATCGGCACAACTCCAAAAATGCCACTGAGCAAACGTCCTTCGGCGTTGAACGCTTGGTTGGTACTGATTTAGTGGTAGTTGTGCCGATTGTATTTTCACAAACTAAATATTTCAGAACGTAACACAAACGGCACTTAACGCCATCTGGTGATGAAAAAATAAGATAGAAAAAAACTGATAAGCAAAAAGAGTAGATATTTTTCTCGCGGTTTCAGCAGTGGTGCCAACTCAAAATCGATATTTTTTGAGTTATGCCATTATTATTCCAGGAATGCGATATACAATTTGGCGTTTAATTTTATTGTAAAATATGTTATACTATTACTTTAATTTTTATCAGTTTGATTTATCAATTACAATGTTTATTATATAATTTTAATACCCCTATCTGTCAGCCCTACACTCAAATAAAATAGGTACATCAAACCTATTGTAAAGTATTTGAATATGGTATTGCTATATTGTATATCCAATATAGATAGATCTTTAAATATACCTTTTCCTTATTATCCTTGTAGTGTTTTACTATTAAATAAATAATAATTATTAATTGGAAAAAATGTGTTAATATTAGAATATACCTTATTCAATTATACTAATTATCTATTAGTAAATAAATAAATAAGTATAATATGTATAGAAAAAGAATTTTAAGAATAAAATAAAATTTCAATGATAGATATACTTTATTTGTTTACCCAAATACTTTTTAAAAGAATTCTTTATAACCATGGTTGTGGATGATCAATATAAATGAAAAAAAAAATATATAAAAATAAACAAGGTCATGGAAAACTTATTAATGAACTTGATGAATTGATAAAAAAGAATGAAAATTTGGAAACAGTTGTTCAAGAATATAAAGACATAGACATACCCATATATCAAGGTATTAGATTTAGATGCCTAGTCAAAATCAATATTATTTTCTTAATCATGAAATACATGCGCAGCTTAGAATTATCTATAATTATAGTAGTTTGACGGTTTATATAAAATTGTATATTCCAATTTACTCTAAAACCATAAATCAATAAAAATCTTAATTATGTTAAAATCTCTATTAACAACGAATTTTCAAATTTTTTGATAACCCTATTCAAAATGTGTGTTTTTGACTTAACCCCTTTTGGCCGCTCACGGAAGAAATATTTGTGTGCCTGTGTGTAGGTGTAATAAGCGTAGAGAATCACATTCAATGTGTATAAAATGTATTATTAAATGTACCCCAAGATAGTTTTACTTCAAAGTTACATAATTATGTTAAGTCATAAACAACCGAACCCTATGTCATATTTAATGTGATATCATTAGTACCTTAGGTATTTCAAATAACTAATAAGGAAGAGTTCTAAACTATTTGCTATGTATACATTATTTTAAATCATTATCAAGTCTATATTGGTAAATGTTTTTTTTTTTTTTTATCTTCTATAAGAAAGGTTTGTGTAAAATGTATTTACTCTAAGGGGAAATTCACATTTCTAGTGTTCATAAATACAATAGTTTAAGTTTTCTTACATAAAAGCCATTGCGTACGGATTGATGCCTCCATCTGGACTTCTGCCACTTCCACTTCCCCATTCTCCTCCACCTGACGGTCGACCACGTCCACGTCCTCTCTCTGGACCACCACTCCTTCCACGTCCTCCTCACCATCCGCGTCATCACCAAGTACCTAAAAGTTAGGTCCAGTTTAGAGTAGGTACAATATTAAGGTTTTTTTATAATTCTAAATAACTAAATATATAATATTATGTTTGTGCATTGAACGTCAAAATCAATACTCAAAGAGAACTGCCGCACTAAAGTATTAGTAACAACGTCTAATAAAAAAAAACAGTAGAATGTATATTATTACTTTTACTCTACTGTATAAACGGGCGTCGCCCGATTGCGGCCCAAAGTAAACTGTTTACCTTTTCACATATCCCGATTGCGGCCCGTCCATAATAGGTAGGAAATATTAATTTAAGTGGTTATCAAAACTAAATAAATATCCCGATTGCGTCCGATACGTATATTGACATAAATATAACTATCGTATATCTAATCTATTGTTTGTACTCCTCGGGAAACAACTAAACAAATTAATAAAAAAAAATTCATACTAACCCAAATTACAAAATTAAAAAACTTGGAAGTATCTAATTTTGATTTTGTAAAAATAATACATTTTTAAAAATCAGCCTCTAACACTAAAATTATTTTTCTATTCATTGACATATTATTTGTATTTCACGTACTTTTTTATTGTAAACAATTTATTATTTTAATATTTGACTATTTGTATACATATATACTTTTAAAATTGTATACAAATACATCCATTCAGGAAGTATTTAAAATACAAAATATACTTACCATGTATTTAAATAAATTTTATACTTTATACTTGTTTCATAATAATTTTGAAATACTTTATTATTTGGTGATTAAACATATTATTATATATATATTAATTATAAGGTATTTTGTGAACCAATGTGTCTTTGGACGCAATCGGGATACTTATATTTGGGATAAAATACGACTACCTGAATTCGGGCCGCAATCGGGCAACTCCGGTATAAACACAATGTTAAGTATACAATATCAGTTGTGTAAACATAGGTAATCTATGGTTTATTTGGTAATGTAGCATGGTTAAGTGCATTTCTATGAAATTATATGGGCATTTAAATATCATAAACATGTCTAACTTACAATTAAAGGAGAGTAGACCTGAGTCAGTAATAAATAGTATAAGTATTTTGTTCATTGGTTGTAAAAACTCATAATAAAAGTTAAAATACGGTGAGTTGAACTTTTAATGGTTGTGTGTTCATATATATTTAATATAATCTTGTATTGGTTAGGTGTAATGTGCTCATGTGTTATACCGTGTATACTCATATGCAATAAGTGCATTTATATGATATTCTTATAGGATAAGTTTAATGTAAGGTTTATGTTACACTAATTTCAAAGAGTCATCAATGTGATGAGATCAAGTACACCTATATCTATCACCACTATAAATAAAGTAAAGAATGTATTGAACACTATAATAGTTATAACTTGAGTTTATAGTAGGTATACCTAGATATACTATATGTATATTGTATACAAATATTGTATGTAATATTGTATCTAATATTTTTTTGTGCATTGAACTTCAAATCAATACTCAAAGCTTAACCTAACCTTAATAGGTGCAATCTTTTACATCGTAGTATAATCTAAAATTGTCATTGTAGTAAACAGATAAACTGAATTTTAACTTTAAGATCAAGAGCCAATCAAAAAACAAAGAAATTCACAGAAGAATGTATAAATGGTTGCGCATTCATACATGGTTATAATCTTTCTAACAACAATAACTTTGAAACATTGTAAAAATGTATTGCACTGTATAACAGTTAGTGTTATTTCTAAGAGTACTACATATCTAGTACACACCTAGGTCAGGTGTAAGTAATGGTAGCAGTAGTAGTAATAGTAGTAAGAAAATGTTCAAGTATTTTGTTCATTGGTTGTGTTGTGAATACCCAAAATAAAAGTTAAAATACAAAGAGTTGAACTTTTAATGGTTGTGTGTTCATACACAACAGTAAGTGTACGTACTCATAGTGCATTTATATGAAATTATTATATGATAAGTTGAATGTAAGGTTTTTGTTACACTAATAAAATCATACAGGGTATTCAATGTGACAAAATCAATTACACCTATATCTATCACCACTGTGTATCAAATACCACACATCAGTAGTAAATAATATGTTACACAGTGTTAATAAAGTTAGTTGTATAAATACAGTAAAAAAAGTGATGAACACTACGATAAAACACTTATCCAGTACCTACACAATTCACAAAAAAAAGGAGAGTTTAGTAAAGAGTCTAGTAATACCTACTTTGTGTAGTAGTAACATTAAGAAAATGTTA